CACAGAATCAGAAGATGCTGAACATGTTTCTGTCCGGCAGTCAGGTAAATCTTCACTCTAATGCACCGAAGTATGCTGCCGATAACCTGGTCCCCCAATGCCTGGTACCCCGATAACCTGGTCCCCCAATGCCTGGTACCCCGATAAACTGGTCCCCCAATGCCTGGTACCCCGATAAACTGGTCCCCCGCTGTAATCCGAAAACCTGGTCCCCTGATACCTGGTCCCCCACTGTTGTCCGATAACCTGGTCCCCCAATACCTGGTCCCCCACTGCTATCCGATAACCTGGTCCCTCAATACCTGGTCCCCCACTGCTATCTGATAACCTGGTCCCCCAATACCTGGTCCCACACTGCTGTCCGATAACCTGGTCCCCCAATACCTGGTCCCCCACTGCTGTCCGATAACCTGGTCCCCCAATACCTGGTCCCCCACTGCTGTCCGATAACCTGGTCCCCCAATACCTGGTCCCCCACTGCTGTCCGATAACCTGGTCCCCCAATACCTGGTCCCCCACTGCTGTCCGATAACCTGGTCCCCCAATACCTGGTCCCCCACTGCTGTCCGATAACCTGGTCCCCCAATACCTGGTCCCCCACTGCTGTCCGATAACCTGGTCCCCCAATACCTGGTCCCCCACTGCTGTCCGATAACCTGGTCCCCCAATACCTGGTCCCCCACTGCTGTCCGATAACCTGGTCCCCCAATACCTGGTCCCCCACTGCTGTCCGATAACCTGGTCCCCCAATACCTGGTCCCCCACTGCTGTCCGATAACCTGGTCCCCCAATACCTGGTCCCCCACTGCTGTCCGATAACCTGGTCCCCCAATACCTGGTCCCCCACTGCTGTCCGATAACCTGGTCCCCCAATACCTGGTCCCCCACTGCTGTCCGATAACCTGGTCCCCCAATACCTGGTCCCCCACTGCTGTCCGATAACCTGGTCCCCCAATACCTGGTCCCCCACTGCTGTCCGATAACCTGGTCCCCCAATACCTGGTCCCCCACTGCTGTCCGATAACCTGGTCCCCCAATACCTGGTCCCCCACTGCTGTCCGATAACCTGGTCCCCCAATACCTGGTCCCCCACTGCTGTCCGATAACCTGGTCCCCCAATACCTGGTCCCCCACTGCTGTCCGATAACCTGGTCCCCCAATACCTGGTCCCCCACTGCTGTCCGATAACCTGGTCCCCCAATACCTGGTCCCCCACTGCTGTCCGATAACCTGGTCCCCCAATACCTGGTCCCCCACTGCTGTCCGATAACCTGGTCCCCCAATACCTGGTCCCCCACTGCTGTCCGATAACCTGGTCCCCCAATACCTGGTCCCCCACTGCTGTCCGATAACCTGGTCCCCCAATACCTGGTCCCCCACTGCTGTCCGATAACCTGGTCCCACAATACCTGGTCCCACACTGGTATCTGATAACCTGGTCCCCCAATACCTGGTCCCCCACTGCTGTCCGATAACCTGGTCCCACAATACCTGGTCCCATACTGGTATCTGATAACCTGGTCTCCTGTTACCTGATCCTCCTGATACCCGGTCTACCCAATACCTGGTTCCTGATACCTGACACACAATTTTTAGCCAGGTAAAAATGAAATATTGCATCTGAATAGTCCATGTTTGCACTTTCCAACCAGCAGTTGCTCCAATGTCTTTTGTCACAGGTTTACCCGGCTACTCTTAACTGCTTCACTGAAGATATCGCTTGTGTTTACGGAGCTGAATTGCTGAAGCTCAGAGTACACACACAGCTAAAGGAGTGAAACATTTCCATACGGCCATCTCTCTTCCCGCTCTCCACAGCTCCATACAGACTTACAATACTCCAAGTGCTCCATACTTACACTTACAAAGAGACAGTCTGAAAGCAGACAGCCCCTACTGTGCTTCCTCTGCAGAACCCGTAATGCTCCGCGGCACCAGTGTGCTGGGCGCACCATGTCCCTAATATTTATTTATATGTCTTATAAAATCGCTAAAAGATCATTTTAAATACATTTAAAACATCAAGTAAACGGAAACGATCATTTTTATGGAATACTTTGTTTAATTTCTTTTCACCTGAACTTCAGGATGCTAAAATCTTTTATTAGAAGACTTTCAGAATTGTCTTTTTTTAATCGCAGACGTCTCAGCGCGTCATACTGGGACCTTCTCAGTGCTTGATAGGAGGGGCCCCAGTCCTGCTGGGACAGCCGTATCTGCTCCTGTAAATCAAGTGTCACCGTGCGTTACTTTATGTGTTTCCCTTCTCGGACGAACACGGAACAGGAAGTGAGGCAACGAGTGGCTGAATATACTGTATTTTGGGTTGTTTGGTAGGGAAGGGGAGGGGGAGGGGGGGTCTGGAGTGTGGACTCTGGCTGCATTCGGTGAGTATGGACTTTTTCTAATTATGCTTTGTGGATATCTTATCAAAGATGGGACTCCTAGGGCAGAGGCTGCAGGGGATGCCTGTAACTTGACCTCAAGTTCTGGGCAGCCTTCTGGCAAAGACAGTGAGCCTATTACAGGAGCAGGGGGTTGAGAATTGTGGGAAACCCCGTCTATAAACTGCACCCATGGGTACGAGGACTACAAATGCAAGTTTTTTGTTGGTTACAGGATATCATAGTTAAAAAAATATTAAAAAAGGGGCGTTTTTGATGGTTTTGTAGCATTTATATTAAAAATCAATTCTTAAACAAAACTCACCTTCTATGTTACAACGTGGAGGGTAAGAAATAAGCCGACTTACCTGCCAGGCCGGGCTCAGGTAGGTGCGATACTTGTTCTGGACGGACCTTTCAGGGTGGAGGAAGGGAGAGGAGAGTCAGCGGATGTCAGCACAATCCTCCCTGTGTACTCTGTACATGACTCTCTCTCATGATTTGTAACCCTCAGTCCCGGTACCGATCCAACTAACAATAGGGAATGGAGCATCTCCACCAGAATGATTGAATTACCAACTGTGGTCAGATTTTGCCAGTGGCCTCTAGCGCCATCTAGTGGTAGCCTGATAAATGACACCGAGTACCTATACGCTGATACAATGTACACTGACCGGGCGGAGTTATGCTTCAACAACAGGGCACTGCAGCCAGGCGTTGTGTTTCAGTTATAGGTGGAGTGGGCTAAGTTAAATCAGCTGCTGGCTTCTTATGTGTCTCTTCAAAGGCGAGATCTCCCTGCCGCAATTCCTGGCTCTGCTCCTGTCCACCTGGGAGTTTTGGGTGTTACAGCACACCATGGGAGCCAATAGAGACCCCCAAGAGATAGAAGAGATTGTCAGCTGGATTGGCTCACCAGCGTCCCCCATACACCGGTATATCAATTATGTGCAGAGTGACCCTTTATCATCAGTACAATGCAGTATTCCAGCCGTGTGTGTCCTGGCTGTTACCTGAACAGGTGGACACATTGGTGTCTGGCCTCCTCGGGGCTCTGGCTGACCTCCAGGTCTACAGACTCTTCTTTAAAGTGATCGCAGTCCATCCAAAAGTGGAGCAGGTGGAATCCCAGCGTCCCCCGGAGGAAGTCAGTGAATCTCGCCATCCCCTCACGCTGTAAACAGAGAAACATATGGATACATGTCATTTATTTTAGCCCCTCAGTAACCTGCCTACAACCGATCCTGGTCCCTCAGTGACCTGCCTACAAGAGATAGTGGCCCCTCATTGACCTAGCTAGAGCAGTTTGAGCCGGATTCTTTATGCACTTAAGGCATACTAATGTGGTCCCGCAAGCAGTTACTATTACATTTATAATATAGCTTCAGAGGTCACACTGGCATGCCTTAAGTGCCAATGCAGCAAAATTGCTCTGACATAAACGCGGTCAATGTGGGAATTTTAAATGGTGTACACTGGGCGAGGATTGGCCGGTGCTGTGTCCACCCATCATTGTCATGTGACAGCGGCCCCTGAGGAATGGCACTGACGCGGACCGTACTCACAGAGCTCAGAGCCGCCTCCTTCAGCTGCTGCAGGGAGGACAGAGGGAGATTGTTCTGCCGCAGGAAGTTCTCTTCCTCCTGGGAGATGGTGTAGATGTCTCCGGGGTCCATCCAGTCCACGTCCCGGTCACCCCCGGCCCACGCCGGCCCCCCGTGCTCTGCCTGCGTCCTGTACAATTTAGATTAGAGTCATTGTTATAGTTCCTGAGCTCCAGAAAGACACGTCCATTACAGGGAGCCAACAGATCTGTATTACATCCAGGTGCTTCCCTGGTGGGATACGAATGTCCCAACACGGTGGAGTAACTATAGCCATAGCAGCTCAGGCGGCTGCTCTGGGGCCCGGGGGTGAAAGGGGCCCCATTATGTTGTTGAGGCAAATTAAACATAAAACAGCCGCAGTTGATGACAATTATAATCCCCTGTAACTTCTGCAGTAAGGAGACGACTTCAGATGCACCAGAGGAGTCTTTGGGATCTTGGCATCATTACTCACAGTTCGTGGGGGGGTCCCCATCAGATTTTTACTATGGGGCCCTGTGATCTGTAGTTACAGCCCTGTCCCAATGTTAATTTTTAGCTGGAGGTTTTTGTGTCCGGAGTTTCCCTTTATTCCCCCTCCCAGCCCGGTGTGATTGCCTTGGGACACCACAGACACTGTGAGATAACTTGGTGGGCGGTACCTAGAGCTGTACGGCTCTGTCTGGCTCTGCGGGGGCGGAGACATCTGCGGATCCATTTCTGCAAGAACAAATGAAAGAGTGTCATAAATAAAGCCGGGGGGACGTCGTTCCTGCCCCTGAGATACTGGCACATGGTGACAACGCTAATTTTTTGCTTAAACCCCAGAGAGTGACAAAATGGGGAAACAAAAACCCCCAAACTCTTGCTGCCTGCCCAAATACTAAGAGGCTGACATACTGTATGTTTCTGTATATGTTTTTAAACTGTTTTTTTTTTACTATTTACTTTAAATCCTTATTTTTAAAATGTAATTTTAATGCAGGACGCACCCATGGCTCTGGGTTCATAGAACATGAAGGGTTTTAAAAGAGAGACCAGAGGTTGCTTTCAGACTGTCTCTCTCTAATTGAAAGTGCGTTTAAAGCCACACAGAGCAGCACTATTCTGACTCATTCAGCTTTTTCTGTATAATAAAAAAATAATATCTAGATTCCTGACTGGAGCACTACTGCGTCAATGATCAAGCATGAAGTTATTGGAGTCAGAACTCCTGATCTGAAAGTATAGAAGCCATCGGATCAGCATGACGACTGGCATTCTCAGGACAGCTCAACAGTGGCAGGCTCCCTATGGTCTTAGATTTTGTTTCCTCTAGGGCTAATTCACACCAGCCACAGTGCGTTCCGGCCCGATTCTGGTCGGAATACACTGGATCGCATTGCGGCCGGCTCACTTTGTTGTGGGGCGGGAGGGGCGTGGCATTGCATTAAACTCAATGGCACCGCAGCCCTCAGGCCGCAATGTGATCAGCCGCACGGGAACGCAATGCCTGCGGTCCGGTCCGAAAAAATGCTGCAAGCACTATTTTATCTGACCGGACCAGAACGGAACGCAGAATTGATGTTCCACGCCTTCCTCGTGCGGCCGATCGCATTGCGGCCGGAGGACGCCCCCTCCCGCCCCACCACAAAGTGAGCTGGTCGCAATGCGATCCAGTGTATTCCGACCAGAATCGGGCCGGAACGCACTGTGGCTGGTGTGAACTAGCCCTTAATATGAACATTTGATATGGGACGCACACATGGCACTGTGTTCACAGGACATGAAGCGTATCAAAAGAGAGAGCAGAACTTGCTTTCAGACTGTCTCTCTCTCATTGAAAGTGCGGACTTTCTGATTTGTGTATATATATATGTTTAATCTGCATAGTTTCATCTATCTGGCTCTGTAATAAGATGTACAGAGTATCCAGGTAAACTTATAGAGACCCCGGAATGCCACTGCTGGCTGTAAACTGTTACTATGAAATATTCAGATTTCCATTCCAGACTGTATCCCTCCAAGTGTACAAAGCCCGGCCTGAGACAGAACAAGGGAGGGGAGGGAGTCACCGCTCTGACTCAGCTGTGCCTGTAATCTGAGCCTCTCGTAAACAACGGGATGTTTTTAGCCAAGCAGCTAAGATTGGCTCGGTGTGAAAAGCAGCCGAGGACTCCGCCAGCTGGACAGGAAGCCAAACATGTGAAATAAACATATCCGATATTTCCTACTGACCCGACCAGAATGTGACATGTTATTTTAGTCCTGAGCACCATCAATATAGAAATCACACGACACTGGACTGTCCCTTTAAATGTACATGGTTGGTAAGTGCTATGGGAGAGGCTGTGGATGTTATTCTGGGATGCTCATGACATAGAAGGCAAAGGGAGCGACCTCTGTGATGTCATAGGTGATGGTATACACTGTATCTTATAGATATTCAATGTCGGCCTCCCCCACTGTATATAATAATAATAACAACAAGTAACATTAACTATAGAAATATAAAATCTGAGATTTCTGTCTCACCGCCGGTCCCAGTGTGATGGAAGGACGTATAGAACTCGCTCTCTGTGATTGGCCGCTCCGGCGGTCGGTACAGCCTAATGATGGCGTCTCCATATTGCTCCAGGACGGTCAGGTTGTACGGCTCCGAGTCATATCCTGTATAATAGAGACAATTATATACATTGTTACTTCTTTATCTAAACAGGAAATGTATTTCTATACACACCTACACAGTATACGGTATATATCATAACATGTATCATTGTTCCTTCTTCTACCATATTATAACCGATCATCTGTATGGCCTCATAGAGGAATGCTTCAGACCAGTCCCAGAAATAAAAGATTATATATATATATATATATAATGCATAACA